TGAATAAACTTGGCTCTTTCTTCCTGTCATGAAAGACGACCATGTAGCTGTGCTTGCACACACTGCAAGCTGCACTTAAAGGGTTCAAACCCCTTCCCATGGCTACAACTGCAAACTTTAAGACTGGAATAAAGAGAGCGCCCGAGTTTGTCCCGACCGTCGCAAGGCAGCGTTTCCCGCAGAGCAGAGCAGAGCAGGGAAGGGCTCTTTGGGATGTGCTGCTCCTGTCGGGGGGTGCAGGGGTGCAGGGGTGCTGAGGCTGTGCGTGCCCTGCAGGTGCCGTGTGCGGGTCATCGACACGTTTGGCACGGAGCCAGCCTACAACCACGAGGAGTACGCCACGCTGCGCGGCTACCGCACCAACTGGGGCTACTGGAACCTGCAGCCCACGCAGTTCATGACCATGTTCCGTGAGTGGGGATGCCTGCAGAGCCTTTGCCTTTAAAAGGGATGGGTTTCTCTCCCCGGTTTGAATTTGCTGGCCTTGATGCTGGGATCTGGGATTTCCTAGAGGAGAGAATGAAGTAGGGATTTATTAAAGGGCTCCAACACGTACACCTTGGGGAGTGTAAAAAACCTCGCAGAGGCTACGCCCAAGATGGACAAGAGTCACAAGTTTTTCAGACAGATATAAGTTTGATCTATCTGCATATCAGGGATTAATCCTCCAATTGCATCTTCAGGTAATGAAATCACATTCCCCCAGTTTGCTCCCCCACAATTCACTTTTGAGGCCTGAGGCTGTGATGGTGTCCTTGGATCTCAGGCCTGGAAGGATTGTTTAGTCTGACCAAAATGTGAAGAGAGCTTGCTAACACTCTGTGTGGAGTTCAGAGTTATACACTAATCCAATACCAGATCAGAAAAATACAAAAGCTAAAACTTAAGGCACCTGCCAGGGCGGTTCTGGGGCTCTGAGATCCTCCACGAGGTGATGCTCAGGCAGTGTCCTCCTCCCTGGCTCTGTTCCTGCTTCCCCTGCCTGCAAGGAGCTCCTGCTGGGCCACAGAAAGATCCAGGGAGAGAGACCAGGCTCCTTCCCCTGGTGCAGCACAGTCAGGGCACAGCCAGCAGCTTCCAGCTGGGGTGGTGCTGGTTGCAGAGCCTGGTTTGAGTTCAGCTGGGATTCTGAAGGTGAGAGCAGCTCAGGGATTGGGATTTGCCTGTGGCATGGATGGGAGATGTGCATGTCTGAAAGGAGCCCCGTGTCCCTCTGGCTGCTGGGTGACTCAAGTGTTGCTTTTTCCTGGCTGGGTAAAGCCCCTCTGGCAGCCTTAAAAGCCCCTCACTGTGTGCAGAGCTGCTCCAGTGGGTTCTGAAGCCTGGATTTCATGACCTGCTTGGATAGGGACTCAAGCTCCATTTTCCTCCATGCTCCAGAAAGGCTCTGGAGCCAGGCTCATCTCAGGCTGTATCCCCAACCCTGGGGACATCCCAAAAAACATCTGTCCAGCCCTTGTCTCCTTCCCTTGGTGCCCACAGCTCACACCCCTGATAACTCCTTCATGGGCTTCGTGTCAGAGGAGCTCAACCAGACTGAGAGGCAGCTCATCAAGGCCAACAAAGTGAGCAGCATGGCTGTGGTGTATGGCAAGGAGGCCAGCATCTGGAAGGTGAGTGTCCTTGGGCTCCTGGGGACAAGCCAGGCAGGCAGGGTAGGGATAGGCAGGGCTGGGAGGCAGCCCCAGCCTCTGGTTCTCCCCCCGAGCTGTTAAGGTGCAGATCTGGGTGTGTTTGTGGAGGATCATCCTTGTCCTGGTCCTGGGGGAGTGATGGGACACATCCAGAGCCTCCATCAAACAGGGAGAGGCTGCTGGGATGCCATTCCCTGCTCCTTGCTCTGGGTGATGCCACCTCCCAGCAGGCTCCGAGGCTGAGGATTTCATATTGATGATTTTATATAATTAATTATAATGATTGCCACTAATTAATTGCAGTGATTGCTGCATTATGATGGGGATAGTTGTGTCTGCTTTCAAGCACTCTGTGAAAAGGGGTCGTGCTCCCCGAGCCTGGAACACCTGGGGGACAGGGGTGGGTCACTGCATGGGGACAGCCCCTCCAGCCCCCAAAACATCCCCTTGCATCTCCAGAGGGGCTGTGCATGCTCCCCCCCATCTAATCCAGAGCTAGCAAGCTGCTTTTCCTTCCAGGGCTGTAAAAAGGAGCTAATTCTCATTGTCTGTTGATTTATTTCTATTTTTCCCTCTGTGCACCGCCCGGGGCTGCTCCAGTTGCAGGTACTGTACCACACCAGCTGCTGCTGGGCTTTGCCTCTGCGCCTCTTCTCGGGAGAGAAAAGGTTTTTGTCGGAGTCGACTTTGCCTTGCCGTGGGCTTGGTCCTCTGGAGCTGCTGGGGCCGATGTGGGTTGATGCAGTTGGGGCTCTACCTCCTCCCCTTCGCAGCTTTCCTGATTAGCAGCTGCTAATTAGCAGGGATGCTTGTGGTGAGCCAGGATCCAGCCAAGCCCTCTCCTGTTTACTGGGTTTGTGGGTTTTCCATCACTCCCCAAGTCTGAGAGCGAATCCCCCCCTGCCTCTGCCTGGCTCGGGGGCTCCCTGAAGCCCTTCTGAAACATTAAATCTCATTTGAGGAGAACTGCAACATCTTGTCTTATTTTTCTACCATTCTCCTGCCCTTTCTTACCCAGAAGTTTCCTTGGAGCTTAGTTAAGGTAATTTGGGAAGGCACTGAAGAGAGTTCAAACCCCAGAATGAACATTTCCCTCCACCCCAGCTGCTACAGGCATTTGCTGCTTTGAGTCAGAACTCACAAACAACATCAGCTTTCCCCAAACTGCATATTTGGGGTCATTTATTCCTGGGTGAAGAGGCTGGGGTTGAGCCTTGCTGGTTCTTTGAGGCCAGGCTGCCTGGCCTTTGCTTCCCATCTTGTACCACTCAGTGGAATAAAAAAGGGCCTAGAGGGTTTTTTTCCTTATTTTGAGTGTTTTTGAGGTGTAGAAAGGCAAAGACCACCTCCATATTCAGGAGCCAGCTTATTTACCAGCCTTGGACCAAACACCCTCTCCAGAGCAGGATGTTTTTGACATTTAGAAACGTTTTATTGAACCTCCCTTCCCTTTATTTCTCATTTCCTACCCCTCTGAACTTCTCGCCTCTGGCTCACAATAGGAGCAGAAGTTTTAATAAACTGGGAAAGCCTCAGAGCCTTGGAGAATTCCAGAGATCCATGGCTGAGGGCAGAAATACAACATTTGAGGAGGCTTTAAGGCAACATACAGAGTTTTCTCAAATTCCCTATTTATAACTCCTTATTCTCCCTGGTTTTTGCTCTTTTGGGGATGCTGCAGCACTGGAAAATCCAGCGTCCAAAGGATGGGCCCTTTGTGGTTTTTCCAAGCAAAAAAAAAATTCTGCAGTAGAGAAATTGTTAAAATGAAAGTCTGCTTTGGAGCAAAAAGAGGGAAGCCTCCAAGAGAAGAAAATTGATTACCCCCTTCATTTCCCAGGTAGTGAAACAGGATTAAATCTGGATGAGAAAACCCTTGGAACTTGTTACTTGGAATAAGGGGCTATTAGCAAACTCTGGTCTTTGCAGACTTTCTGAACCCTCTGAAACCTTTAATTCAGCAGCTCCAGAGTGGAAGGTGCCCTTGGAGGGGACAGGCAAGGCAGGAAGCTGATGATCAGAGTGATGGATCCTGCAGCCATTCGGGCTCCCCAGGAGCCTGGGGCAGTCCAGGATGTGTTTCCAAGGAATGAGGAGGGGCTGGTGGGGGTTTTGCACTGCCTGAAACATGGCAGGTGCTCTGGGACAGCAGTTTGACTTAAAACCCTCTCCCCATAACCACGGGTTTGAGGTCGGACCCATCCTTTGGTGTAGTTCACATGTCTGCCCTCCTCCCCAGGGCAAGGAGAAGTTCCTGGCCATCCTCAACAAGTACATGGAGATCCATGGCACGGTTTATTACGAGACACAGAGGCCACCCGAGGTGCCAGCGTTCGTGAAGAACCACGGGCTGCTGCCCCAGCACGAGTTCCAGCAGCTGCTGAGGAAGGCAAAGGTGGGTGAGGGCATCCCAGGACCCTGACCCCATTACCTGTGCTCCTCCCAGCCCGGCAGGCACTCCCAGATGGGATAATTAACCATGAGCCTCTCAGCCACGATAATTAGGCAGGAACCGAGCAGAGCACATTGCAGATCAAGATGTGTCTGATGAGTTTCTCCTTGCAGACTGTCCACAGGCAGAGCACAAAGTTTCCTCATTAATTTATTCATTGCTGAGTGGGGTGGGTTGTGGATTTTTTTGCTTTTCACCTTATAGCTGTGATAAAAATAAACGAGATTGTTGGAGTGTGTGGGTGTTGGGTGCATCCCTGTCGCCTTCAGCTGGTGCCTGGGGGAAATATTCCTGATTTACCAGCCCAAACAGCTTTGGCAAAGCAATGCTGCTCCATGCAGGCCCAAAGTGATGGCTGTGAGCACCACGGGGGAACTTGCTGGACACTCCATGTGCAAAGTGGGCTGTGGTTGATGGAAAAGGGGGAATTTTGAGCCCAGTTTGTTGAAGCCCATTAGAGGCTTAGTGTGCAGGAGCAGACAGCAGAGCAGGGATGCTGGTGGGTTTGTCTGGGAGGTTTCCTCTCGGTGGGACATCCAAATGTCACTGTTAGCTGTGTGATTAGTAATGGAATGATGAAAGTAAGACACAGTGACACGGTCTCCTTTCAAAATAAAAAAAGGACGACTTTATTATAACACTGTATTCCTTTATAAACACTAGATCGCAGAACCAAAAAATAAAATCAAACTCATTGGTCCAAAGAAGACAACACCCCCTGTAAACACGTTTCACCAAAAAAACATGTTTCTCACACATCCCTGCTGTCACAAGGCCAGATGTTAGCCTGAGAAAACTCAGACTGCTCTTTTCCCTGTACAGCACAGTTTCCCTGTGTGGAAAATCTCTCTCCAGCACTGTGTTTCTGCTTTGCAGCTGTTATAAATGGGAGACAAAAGTCTCGATATTCAGCAAAATTTTAGATTGCTTTATTTGATGTAGAAAGAGCAAGCAGGGCTGGGGAACGTGAGGGGTCACTGCCCACTCTACGCTCCACCCAACCTTGGTTTGCAGCCTCTTCTTATAGTGTGGGTTCTCGTTGTTCACAAATTCACAAAGCCTTTGGGTGATAATCAGTCACAGATTGCCATCTGGTCCTTGTAGGTGACCACCAGGGATGTTCTGGAGGTCTGGTCTTTGTAGATAACCACCAGAGAAGTTCTGGGAGTCTGGTTTTTGGGATAGGCAGTATTGATTAGACAAAGGCAGGAAGGGCTTTTTGGGAAGTCTGATTTCGCAAGCTGGTAGCCGATACAACTTATTTGAAAAACATAACATAATATAGCATAATGTAATGTAACATAATACAACATAACATAACAAGGTGATTTTAAACAGAATTATTTAACCATGTAATTTCCTTTATCTAGTGTCCATGCTTCACTTCAGAGCTGAGTATTCTGGTTTATACAAACCCCAACGCTTTTGTGATTAACACCAATCTTTTATCAATTGTCACACAGCTCTTCATTGGCTTTGGGTTCCCCTACGAGGGCCCGGCGCCGCTGGAGGCCATCGCCAACGGCTGCGTGTTCCTGCAGGCGCGCTTCAACCCGCCCCACAGCTCCCTCAACCACGAGTTCTTCCGTGGGAAACCCACCTCCAGAGAGGCAAGTGTGCTCCGGGGGCTCCCCCGGGACACCCCCTTTGCACCAGGGCTTGGGACAGCCTGGGGAAGGGCAGCTGCCACGCTGGGGTTGGTTTGTGTTTGGGGTAAGATTTCCTCTGTGGGTGTCTGCAGATGGCGTCTCCTGTAGGAGCTGGGAGGAGGGATGCAGGGCTCCAGAGTGGCTCTTTAAAATGTTGTTTATTGTACCCAGAGGATGCAGCAATTCAGGGGTCCTGGGTGACAGGAGCCCAGCCCAGCTGGTCAGCCTCAGCTGTAGCTGAAGCCAACTCTAGTTCTGGTTCCAATGCATTCTATACTTTTCTTTACAGAGCATCTTAATACACAACAACCAATCAATACCTTTACTATTACCTATAGCCTATCATAACTACTAACATTACCATATCCATGGTACTATTTTCTAATCACAAATAGTTAATATGTTACAGTTTAAGCTAGGAGTTGTTTTTCAGTTTTCTTGCAGTGGAAAATTCTGAGACCTATTTTTCTACTTGCAACATGGCATTTTTGTTTGCCTGTGAAATCTTTTTGCTTGATAAAAACATCTTCTGTTTGAGGTGGATTTATCCTTTGCTCTAAGTCATAAAAACCCCTTCCAACTCACTTACCCTTTGCTTTCTAGTTATCCAGTAAGACTGGCTCAGAAATTCTTTTCTTCTATATCAAAACTTACTATCATTTCCATTCCTTCAGATTCTACATTCAAAGATCTTTCTATTATACATACACATCTCTGAGAGCTTCCTATCAAATCCCTATCCATCCCAACAGTCCCCATTTGGGGATTTGCCTTGAATGGAAGGGGCTTTGCTGTAGGTTTGGGGTTTCCAAGGAGAAGGAGGTGCAGGAGCAGACCCCCAGCTCCTTCCCCACATCCTGCTCCCAACCCAGGCACTGCTGCCCTGCTCATCCCTTTGTCCCCCCAGAGGGACACCAGGACCTGCACAGAGTGGCAGGGCTATGAAATCCCTCCCAGGCTTGCCCATCGCTGGGAATTCAATCTAAGTAGAGCAGGAACTCTTTAAAAGTTAAAGGCTTGAGAAAATTGCCTCTTTTATTATTAATAAAGTGGATAATGCAGTGCAAGGCTCCCTTGTGGAGCAGGGAGAGAGCTGGGGGGGTGCAGCTGGACTGGGCAGTCCTGCCCCCCCCGATTGCCCCGTGCACCCCCCAAATTTGGTGTTCACCCCCATTCGGGTGGGGCTGGGGCTCTAGCTCAGCCTGGGGCCGGGGGAGGGCTGTGAAATGCCTCAGGGTGTTTATGTGCCAGAGGGGAAGGAGGTGATCAATCTGCCGGGAAAGAAATGAGGAAGGACAGTGATGAGGAGGATAAACCACACAGCTCTTCTCCTCCAGCTGGCAGGGGTTCAGGGGTGCCCACAAAACACCTCCTCTGCTCCTCAGCAACCTCTCTCTTCCCTTCCCAGGGGAGATGAGGGCTGGAAAGGCACCTCAGGGCTGGAACAAAAGACGTAGATCCCCAAAAATCACCTGGGTGGGCAGCCCAGGGAAAAGCCAGGACGTCAGTAGCTGTGGAGTGCCAGTGTGTGGGCTGCCTGTGGCACCAGGGTGATGCAGCTTCCAGCGCTGCTCTCTCCCAGTGCCAGACTTGCCCAGCCTTCAGTGGCAATGAATTTTCTCCCTGCCTTGTTTCTGGAGCTGGCAAACCTGGACGTGTGGTGTCTTCACACTCCTTTCCTGTTTTGGTGCCTTTTCACCATCCAGACCCACAGAATGGCCCAGGTCAAGATTAAATTGTCACCGTGTTACAGAGATGGAGACATTCCATGCTGCAAAAGGAATTCAGTGTTGTTGGGAATGGGACATCCCAACCCAGTGGGAATTATTGCACATCGTCCTGAGGCTGGGGAGCCCCTGGATTCAGAGGAAACCTTCCTCCAGCCCTCCCTATTGCAGTGGGTTACACCCCAGTGTGTCCGTGAGGCTGCTGCTCCTCTCTGCCATCCAGCTGCGAGCAGGAAGCAGCAGCCATTGCAGCAGGGATTGCAGGATTAGGCTGGCACTGCTGTGTTTCAGGTGTCCTCCCAACACCCATATGCTGAAGACTTCATAGGGAAGCCCCACGTGTGGACTGTTGACTACAACAACTCCGAGGAGTTCGAGGCTGCCATCAAAACCATCATGAGGACACAGGTATGGCCTGGAGCAGTTCTGGGGTGACCTCCCTGCTGCTGGGTTTGGACAAGCAGCAGCAGATTTTGGAGCCTGGCTCTCTTCTTCAGACATTAATTTCTTTTCCTTTCTCCTTTGGATTTTTTCCTGCAGCCCCAGGGGCACACACTTTGCTTTGGCACCGAGCATTGCAGGTGTTTCTCCAGGGCAGAGCTGTGCCTTTGAGGGATCCCCTGGGAATCCTGTGGGTGTGCCTGGAGCAAGGGGAGGCTGAGAGAAGGTTTGGGAGCAGGAGGCTGAGTTTGCTGGAGGTGCAGAGCAGTTCTGGGAGCTGGTGTGATAACAAAGATTAACCCAGAGAGCCACAGCCCTGTGCAGCTGCCTTTCCCCCATTTCACTGATCATTACCTTTGGATGGAGCGAATCGATGGGAATAACTTCAGGAGCTGCCTCTGTGAGGGATGTAAGGGAGGGGAGAAGCCCAGGGAAGGCAGCACTCCTGCTGTGCCCACTCTGGAAACGCTCCCTCATGAATATTTACCTCCCACCCTGTGGCAGGAGCCTTTCAAGTTGTCCAAATTATTAAAGCCAGTTTTCCTGGCGGGGAGGAAAGTGCTGATAGCCATTTTGCTGGCAATTTGCTTCAGCTGGGATGAGCCCTCCTCTCTGGAGGACAGGGATGTGCTGTGGAGCCCAGGCTCAGGGCTCAGGGTGTGATGCTGGTCAGAGAAGGGTCACCCTTGCTTTTCCCTGCATTAGAGGCTGCAGTGGTGGGTGCCTGTGGCAGTCTGGGGACCTGATTCAGGTGATGCCATCACCCTGTGTCTCACCTCCTCGAGGGTGATTACTGCAGCTCTCCACCTCACACTCATTTCCTCTGTGAGTTCGTAAAGACTGATCAGACCCAACTTAGGAAAACAGTTGTTGTTTTGCACATTCATTCCCGTATCTCGATTAGAATTAAATTAAAAATAATGACATCCCTGCTGCTGTGCTGCCAGGCCAGCTGTCAGAGCTTGACCCTCCACCATCTGGGCTGGAGACAGCCCTGAAGTGAAGGAATGGCTGTGGGTGGGAGGCTGGGAGCTGTTTTGGGAGAGAGGAGGAAATTTTCTGTTTTTTTCCAGCAGAGAAGGAAGAAAACAGTGAAGCCTGGTGCTGCTAAAATAATTAAAGAATGGCGAGACTGAGGATGGAGGGAAGGGCTGTGCTGCTGCAGTGCTGACTGGATGTGCACCAGGGCATTTCGGTGCTTAATGGTCCGGTTAAAAATCCCAGGATTTTAGGGAAAGGTTTGGTGGCTTGATGGGCACTGGGCAGGAGGAGCTGGTGGCCAGCACTGGGCACTCACTGGAATGTGCTGCTGCCGTGCCCATCCCCAAACCAAGCTCCTGTCTCAGCTCTTCTCCTCATTCCCACTCTGGGATCAGGACCCCCACCCTGTAGTGCCCTCCCACAAAGCATCCCAACCTCTGGGATCACCCTCATCTGCTGGAAGTCCTAAATTTGCCTCAGATGGACCCTCCAGTCACTGAGGCCCCATTTGCATTGTGACACCAGGTCACTCTGGAGAGGAGGGATTCCTTCCCACCAAGGAGTTAATCCACAGTTCACCTCTCTGGGGTTTTAAAGATGTGTAAATCCTCCCAGACAAAGCAGGGAGTGAGTGTGAATAACTTACAGCATCCTGTCCCCCCCCACCTCCATTTTTATCTTTTAAATAGAAAGGTCTGCTTTATTAGAGATGCTGTCAAGGCAATTAAGCCTAAAAATTGACCTACCTTACAGGTTTAAAAGCCTTATTACAGGCTTTGGCTCCAGGAATCCATGGGTACCTTGTCTTTAAAATACTGTTTGTTACAGCAGGAACTGAAACAAGGACATTAGCAGGAGGAGCAGCAGAAAGAGGGTAGCTGGGCAATTTAGTGTTCCTGTTCCCAGCCTGTTACTGGAGTTTGGAGAAATTATTTTACTTTTTTTCCCCCCCCGAAGGCAAAATGGGGTGTTCTGTTATTGGCATATCTAATAAATTTGTCTGTGTTTCAGAATAACCACCATCAATTTATTTTTTTTTCTGTCAAAACATTTCATTTCAAAATTACTGGAATGAAATAGTATGGTTTTGTTTCCCATCTGCCTGCCTTTGTTTGGAAATACCCTGCCAATTTATTGAAAGGAATGCTGGATCTGAAATGATGCATTTCCCTTTGCTTCACCAACTCAGACAGATTGAACCTGAAACACAACATTTTCCCCCCCCTGATGGGTGAAAACATTGGAAATTGAAAACTGACCTGAAATTGATTTTATTGAGGGTTTTTTTTTGTCGTCATATGACTGAAAAATCACATACCCCACAGATGTTTTACATCTTCTAGGCCAGTGCTCAGTAAGACATTTTTGGGGATCTTGTGGAAAGACTGGCTCTGCCATTGGGTGGAAGCTGTGCTGGGGACCAGGGACTGGGAGCTGGGAGCCTGGCTGGGAATTTGGGAGCTGCTTCATTACCTGGCAGTAATTCTGGTGTGGTTGAGCTGACAACAAGCTCGCCCTGCTTTGCTCCAAGGGGGAATTTGCTGATTCTCAGCAATATTTCAGTGTCACTGCAGCACCCCGGTTTCTCCTGCTGAGCCCAGGGCTGCAGTTTGGGGCAGGCTGTGCCATCCCACAGCTCCTGCTGGGCTGGCAGAGCTCCCCAAGCTCAGGGCTGGCTGCTGCCTTTGTGCAAGCAGAGCAGTTGGGATGCAGCCTGCGTCCCTCCCAACCTAGTTCTGCCTGAAAGAAACTTCTTCCTTCTGGAGGCAGAGCTGAATCATGCCTGGGACGTGGCTTGGGTTTGCAATCTGTGTTTTTCTCCCCCAAGAACAGTCCTTGTGCTGCCCTCTCTCATCCTTTTGGAGGTGACACCCGTTCCAGGTCACCCTCCAGCTGCTGGGCAAGGTTTTTGGCAGGTTGTGTCTCTGCCATTTGTCTCACTTGGAGCACTTCTGGGTTTCCCTGATGTTTGCATCCCTGACCTATTTATAAGGAGAATTAAAACCAGGGAAGCACCAAACCCCTCTACCCCAGAGATCAAATCTCAGCACGGGGACAAGTGGTGTCCCCTTGGGAAAGGTGATGCTGGAGGCTCGTCCCAGTGATGGATTCCATCTGTTATCCTGGGATTAGAGGCTGGAAAAGGAGAGAGGTTTGCAGGCACCACCATTTTCTGGGCCTTCATCTTTTCCCATTGTCAAAACCAGTCCTCACACAAGCAATTTAATAGACCCAATATTCTGGTGTAGTGAAGGGAGAAGGCTTCATTATATTAAAGTCAAACATACAGGACTATAATGGAAAATTATACATTTCAGACTATGCCTGAAAGAGCGGCACATTAAACATCACAGTGAAAATAGCTGGTTAAAATGTTCCAGCCTGCTGTTACGTGCCAGCACAGAATTGCATTATTTTTCTACTTATTTGTCTGATGACGTTCAGATTTTTTCCTGCCCTGCTCTCTTTCCCTTTTGAATGAAGGAGGCTTCATTCTCCCTTCCAGCTGGAGGCTCTAAACCCGGGGCTCTGTGGTGGCATTCCCATGGGACACCAGTAACTCCCTGCTTGGCTGATGGAGGGAGCACTGGGGCTGGGCAGCTCTGGCTCTGTGTTCCCCACCCGAGGAAAGGATGGCAAAGTCCATCTTACCAACCCCTCCATTCCCTCCCCTGATATCCAGTGCATCGTTCTGCAGTGGGATGCAGTGATCCCCACCTCAGAACCCTCCTCTTCTTCCTCCTCCTCCTCCTCCTTCCCAGAGTTCTGGGGACACCCTGAGCTCCCGACGTGAGGAGTGCCATGAACAGCGTGGCTGTTGAGAAGAGGCCGAGCCCGTCAGATTTTAATTAAACAATTATCTTCTCGAAATTGGCATTTTCTCAGTCCTGAGTGCACGAGCTGAATCCTAACAAAACCTGGAGAGGGGAGCAGAGGGAAGTGAGAGCCTTTGGGGGACCCCCTGAGAGGGAGAGGGGCTGGAGGAGCAGGGGCTGCAGTGGGCTCCAGCCCATTCCTGATGCCCAGGGATCCCACAGGGCCCTGGGAGCCTGTGGAGAGCTGGGGTTGCACCCGGAGCATCACCTCTGGGTACAGGTGATGGCACAAGGAGGCTTTGTGTGATGTGCTGCAGCTTTTTGGGGGATGAGTCCGTTCCTGGAATTATGTCTGCACCATGCCTGGCAAAAGGGGGTCCTGGGAAAAGCCCCCCATGAAAGCAGTGCTGAGATGAGACAGCACTGGTGGTGCTGAGCAAGGTTTGTCTCCTCCAAAACGGCTCTGAAACCAAGACAGGCAATTCTGCTTTGAGAGGCTCTGCCCCAGTTAACTGAGAGCCCATCAGGAATTCAGAGGCAGGATTGGTGCCTGTCACTGTGTCAGCCCTGATTAGTGTGCACATCTGTAATTAGATGAAGCAGCTGTGATTTCCAGCCTGGCTGAGATCTCAGGTGGGATATTTATGGCAGGGAGATGCTTAGAGGGCTCTCAGCAGACTGAGCCTTTGAGCTTGGTTTTGACAGGTACTTCAAAAGGAAATCGCTATTTTGGAGGTGCAGAGCTCAGAAAATAGAAGCAGCAGTGTTTTCTGGATTAATTATCTTCGGGTGGTTTTGCTTATAATCCTTCTGAATAAAACTGCAGAGATACACAGGGGGAAAGGAGGTGCCAGGACTGGCCCCTTCCAGGCACCAACCCTGCACCTCATGTAACATCTCTCTGGAAAAATATGTCTTCCCAGGGCAGAAGGTTCCTTAAAAATAATTTGTTCCAGAGGGAAGAGAGACATCAGTCACAGCCCTTGTGGCAATGCTCTTCCCGTGGGGAAAATCACTACAGACCTGGGGGCAGTGGTCAGTGCTGAGGGCAGGGAGCCTGGCTGCCTGCTCCTGCCTGCTCCTGGATGTTCCTGCCTGCTCCTGGCTGTTCCTGCCTGCTCCTGCCTGCCTTGGAACCTGTGTCACCACAGTGCCAGGGACAAGCTCACGTGGGGACACTGCTGAGCCACCAAGTGTCTCTGAGGTGACTCCCAGAACAGGGAGGGCAGGCAGAATCTCCTGGAGACCAGGAGCATTTTGTAACCCACAAAATATGAAAATATGCCATGGTTTGAGCACTGCTGACTCTGTAAATAGCAGTTCTGGACGTGGAGGTGCAGGGACAGCACTGACATCCATGTGGGCACCAGTGTTTGCTCCATCCCAGTGCTCACCCAGCTCCTGCCTCCCTGCCACATCCCAGCCAGTGCCAGCAGGGACCACCAAGCCCCTGGGACTGGCAGAGATGGCTTCCACCCCATCAGAGCCACCTGCAGTGGGCAGCAGACCCTCAGTGACATGGCAGTGGGAAAAGGGAGATGTTTTTCCTTGGATTGGGCATAGCCAGTCCCAGCCCTGCCCTTTCCTGGCCAGTTTTGTGGTCAGAGCCTGGACCTTCCTGTCTGAGTGGTCAGAGATGTGCTGAGGTCAGGGGAGCAGAGGATGCCAGACCAGCCCTAGGGCAGCACTGAGATGCTCTTGCTCTGGATTAGCTTGGCATCTTTTCCAATTCTACCTCTGTATTGTAAGATTGCTCCTCCCTTGCCCACAGCTGCAGAGTGTTTCTTGGGCTGAACAGTTCATGCTTTAGTTTGAAGTGATCTATTGGATAAAAACTGATTTTATAACTTGCTAGAAGTGGAGAAAAGGGAGACCTAAGTGGAACAGGGTGATTTCACCAGTAGGTTGAACCCAAATCCTCTCTCTTTATCACTTCATGGCTTGTGAGGTTTCTCCAGCCCTAGGATTCTTCTCTGCTTTCTTTGGTGGACAGACACCAAAAGAGTCGTGGGCTTTGGAGGGTGGGAGAGCCCTGCCCAAGGTTCTGCTGTCTCAGGGGCAGGGCAAAGCTGTCCCCACCTGCTGCCTGTGCTCTGCTCTTGCCCTTCACAGGTGGACCCTTACCTGCCTTACGAGTACACCTGCGAGGGGATGCTGGAGCGGATCCACGCCTACATTCAGCACCAGGTTGGGGAGAATCCCTGTCCTCTCATCTCTGTCCTCATGGCCAACTTTCCCTCTTCTCCCTGGGAAGCATCCCTGCTGTCCCATGGGCATTGTGCAGCCAGTGCCCTGATTGTAGAGAGCACCAGGAGATGGGGCTGGGGGAGGTTTGTCATGGACCAAAGGTACTGGGGGTTGGTGGAGGACACCTGGGGGTGCTGGGGCTGGGTCAAGGCCTTTCTGCTGCAGAGTATGAGGCAGCACTGGGAGAAGAAGAGGTGAGAGAAGAGGAGGTTCATCCTCCACAGCAGGAGATGCCAGCTATGCATGCAGGTGACCTCGACCTGACGAGCAAAGTCATCATCCCAAGTGTCCTCCTGTCCCACCAGCAGCCTCCCTTCCCCACTGTTAACATCTCAGGGCACTGACCCGTTGTGTTCTCTGCCACCAGGATTTCTGCACCACATCATCTGTTCCTCCGTCTCCCAAGACCAAGAGTCCTGCTATGCAAAGCCCTCCGAGCCCGCTGGCCCTGTCCCCCAACTCCACACACCTGGTGTGGTCGCCCAGAGCTGGATGGGCGCCCCAGGCGTGGCCCCCGGTGGCCTCTCTGCAGGTGTGGGTGTCGGAGCCCCAGCACACGTGCACCCAGACGTGCCGGCAGCACGGGCTGGTGTGCGAGCCCACCTTCTTCAGGTTCCTCAACAAGGAGGAGGTGTTTCTGCAGTGAGTCGGGGCTTTCTCAGCGAGCCTGTGGGGGGCCACCAGCCAGGAGATGTTCCCTTTGCTTCCCCCATCCCTTGCACCCGTTTTCCTCATGTTACCCCTCCCAAAATGCCAGTGATGAGCAGTGCAAGGCAGGGCCCAGCTTCACTCCTCAGCAGGCAACAACAGCGTTTCCAGGCATGGCTCTGCCTTTTCCCAACCCCTTTCCTCTCCACCTCCCGCATGCTCTCTCCCTTCCTCTGCTTTTTAAAGTCTCTCTCTATAAAACCGCATTTTGAACACACAGTGGTGAAGTTTTAATAGAGTATAAATCTGCCACTGGCTCCTTGCTGCTCTCTGGGCAATTAAAATGCGAGCGTTGCCGGTGCTGTCACGCTGGTCAGGCGGGCGCCGCGCGTCCCACTGACATTTTTATGTGATAAATTAGAGCTGGGGCCTGCCTTTCACTCCTTCCCCCTGCACATCCTCCTCCAGACCTTAAAACGAGCTGGCTCAGGGACTCATTGGTTGAGAAGGGTTGGTGGGAGGGCAATGCTGGTGTTGCTGCTCTGTCTGGGAGGGGACGGGTGTTAAAATCCACGCTGGGCATTTCTGCTGCTCCTCGGCGCTTTTGCTGATGCCTGCCCCAGTTTTCTGGCTAATTCCAGCTAACAGGGAGCATTTGGGCAGTCACTGATCCCCTGTCCCCTCCAGGGAATGCTATCGGCAGTAGGGGTGTCCATGGACAGTGGACAGAGCTGTTGGTCAGCAAGGGGCTCTAAGAAAGCCACTGAACATCATGAGCTGGGAGGGACCCACAAGGATCAATGAGTCCAACTCCCAAGATTTGGGTGGGGTGTTGTGGGTGATTCTGTGGGTGGGGACAATCTCTGGGCTGCAGGGTGGAGTTGCCAGGGTCTCCCCTTCCTGCGTGGCGTGCTGGGCTGGTGACGAGCGCTCGGGTGTAGCCGAGGGGTGTCAAACACACATCAGCAAAGATCTGCACCACCCTTAGCAAAGGAACCACCCCAGGAAAGACAAGAGACAAAAACCCTTCAGTGACCCCCGCCAGCAGGGCACTCACCTCACCTGAGCACCCTTCTTTGTCCCCCAGGCTCAGCATCGTGTGCGACAGCACCGAGTACGAGATGAACCACCTGTACCCCGCGGTGGCCGAGAACGTCCACGAGTGCTACCTCCAGAAGGAGCCGCTGCTCTTCAGCTGCGCCGGCTACAACACCAAATACCGGCGCCTGTGCCCCTGCCGCGACTTCCGCCAAGGACAGGTGGCTCTGTGCAGGGACTGCTTGTGACAGGGACACGGGCACCGCGTGGGACACACACGGGAACCGCGTGGCTTTTCCTCAGGAGCTGGGACAGGTCCCTCCCGGCGGGTGAGCCGGGGCTGTCAGACTCTGGGGGTTGTTTCGTCCACCAGCCAACTGTGAATGAGCGTGTCCTGAACTTTGGAGTCATTTCCTTCCCGAGGAGCATCGTCCGACCGCGTCCGAACCCACCTGGACCTGGTGGCACTGGGATGGGGTGGTGGGGAGAGAGGGGCTGGGGACACCCTTCCCCTCCTATGGCAATGGGACAAGCCACCAGCAGACTGCAGTTTCAGGGTTTTCATCTTCTTCAAGCATCCTAAGTTGTTTTATTTATTGATTTATTTTTTTTTTTTAACCCTCACCCTGACAAGTGGTAAATTAAAGGGGAATCCACACCCAGCCCTTCTGTGGGAGTTCTTGGGGAGAGCTGCACTGGTGGTGCAGGGGTGATGCTGGTGATGCTGGGAGGACAAAGCACAAGGAGAGTGGCTGGGTTAGATGGACACACTGGGACTTTCACCCCTGGTACCCCCAGGAAGAGCTGGACAGTGAAGGGTGGGATGGGGCTGGGGTGGGCTCCTGGGAAAGCTGCTGGTCCCTGGGCAGGGCAGAGGTGCCCAAAGTGATCCCTGCAGCCTCCAGGCTGCTCCTCACCCTGCTGGGCCATGCACAGAGCTGAACATCCCCCCAGGGATGGTTGGAGGTGGTGGCGAGGGCACAGGGGCTGCTCAGGATTCAGGGCAGAGGGGGAGGATGAGCTGCAGCACCCAAAATTAATTCCTGGTGGGCACTGACCGAGGGCAGAGCAGCTGAAGAGCAGCACCTTGAGTCTGTGTGCCCCAGATGTGCCAGCACAGAGGTGAGCTCCAAGCAACCTTCTTCCACAGAACTCTTTGCTTCTTCAATTTTCCCTGGTGCTGTTCCTCTTGCTTTGAGGGTGGTTCCTCCCCCATAGCCGATGTTTCCCCTCCTGGCACGTCCCCTGGCTGGGCTGGTGCTGCCTGGGGTGACCTGGTTTGTTTTTGTAGGGTTGCTCACCAGGGGCAGGTGTTGCTGTAAGGTTGGTGCTCAGCCCTGCTGCTCTTTGCAAGGTTGAATGGGGACATCCCTGCATGCCACGAAACGCGTGGCTGGAAAATCAGGGGCTGGAAACTCCTTCTCAGCCCTTCCTGTGTGGAATTGCTCCTGGGCTGGCTGGTGAGGGAGGCTGGTGGGGCAGCAGCCTGAGCTGGCACTGTCACTGCAGGATTGTCCCCTGTGGCTCACAGTGACTGATGGAGAGCAGTGGCAGGGTGAGTGCATGAGGTGTGCCCTGTGACCCAGCCACTCCCTGGAGCTGTGTCACACCCTGGCACCTCCAGCCTGTCCTCCCCAGGCCAGCTTTTGGGAGAAACTCCCATTCCTTCATCTGTGCTGCAGCACTGGGCAGAGCCCAGCTGCCCTCACCATGTCCCTGCTGTGCCACCACAGGGTGCTGTGTCCTCTGGGCACCCCCCATGGCCACATCCTGCCCTGGATGAGCTGGAGACACTGCCATTATCCCAGAGCAATTTATCATCTTCAGCTCCAAACTGCGTGGGCAGCCTCCATCCTGCCTGTGACGCCAGCCCAGGGGAAGGATTGATTAAGTAATTTTTGTGTCTTGCAACCAGCGTGTGTCTAAATAAAAGCAGCACGAGCCTCTCTTTGCAGAGATGAGCAGCAGCACCTCTCCACAGCACCTTTCATCTCCTGCTCAAAGCATCCCCTGGCACAGGCTGCTGCCAGTGCTGGCTGGGCAGGAGCTGGCCTGGGACAGGCACGGGGGGGTCTGCCAGCAGGAACCACCAGCAGGTCACTTCCCAGGCTGGTAAAAACCACATAAACCCGGATTTTATAGGAGATCTAAGCAAGTTTTAAAGACCAAGAGGCTCGGGATGCCTCGTGAGGCAGCACTAGTTACACATCAGCTCCCTGGGCAGCTTTTTCCACTGTTTCTGCTCAGCTGCTTTTAAAATAGCCTTCACCTTTCAGCAGTGCAGCGCTGCCTCCCACTGCAGAGAGCCCCAATTATCCCCTGGCAGGAGCATTTTTCTCCAGGCTGAAATAAAAGGTGGCTGGCTCACCCTTGCTGCTGTCATGGGGAATAATGATGTGTCTGGAACCTTGCTGGATCTCAAGTCAGCCTGTAAATTTGGGTGATGGGGCTGAGGGAGGCTCTGCTGTTGCCTATTGTCGTGTCTCTGCCCCATTAGTGGGCACTGAGTCCTGCTCAGGGGCTGCCTGGGGAAAAAGCTTCTCCTTTGGGCTGTTGGTGATGGAGCAGCACTCGTGGATGTCGGATGGGACCAGAGTGTGGGTGCTGGGGCAGCCCCTGCTGCCTCGTCCCACATGCCTTGGTCTGTAAAACCCCATGTTGGGGCAAGCTGGGGGCTCGGCTGCTTTGGGAATGCCAGTGCAGGGTGTTAACATCACTTTTGGGTGCAGAATTAGCATCAAAATATTTGTTGTGTGGGGTGTGTGTGTGTGCCAGGGGCATTGCAGGTCTCGAACCTGGTCTCCCTGGCCAGGACTCATTTCCATTTGGAAGGGAGATCTGAGCATACAAATACCAAATTCACAATTTATTAAGCAGGAGCATGAAAGAGATTTGAAGGGAAGCAGAGCCACTGCCATATGAAAGAGGTTCTAATTCCCACAGCTAATTGCAAAGAATAAATCCCCAGTGGGGAGGGGGGAAAAGAAAGGGAAATGGTGTCAAAACTATGAATAAATCCAAACAAAATGAAAAGAGGAGTTGTCAGCTGCAGTCTCCGGTGCTGCTGGGTGGGACAATTTGTTTAACAGAGTGCATGGGGAGCCCCTGGAGTCCCCTCAGGGTGGGGTTGGACATTTGATGGCATCTCTGGTGGCATCCAGCCAGCAGAGCCTCCTGGAATGTCTTGGATTTTTTTCCTAACCTGCTTTCTGGCAGCTGTGAAACCAGGACAGGCGTGTCAAAAGAATGATATTGTTCTGGAAATCCATTTTCCTTACCTAGAAATGAAGCCAGGGGCGATTTATGTTTCTGAGCTTCACTCTTCTTCTAAGTAATTCCACCCAGAACTTTCTTTATGGAATTGATGGGGTTTTGTTTTCTACCCCCCCCCCCCCCCCCCGCCCCCGTTTTTAATGTTGCTGGCATCAAACCCTTCCCCTGCCAGTGCAGTGGGGGCTGTGGGGAGAGGATGGGTGGTCCCTGCCCTGGTGTCCCCTCTCAGCATCCCGGGACCCCTCTCAGCATCCCAGGGCTCCTCTCAGCATCCCGGGACCCCTCTCAGCATCCCAGGGCTCCTCTCAGCATCCCGGGGTCCCTCTCAGCATCCCGGGGCTCCTCCCAGCATCCCGGGGCTCCTCCCAGCATCCCGGGACCCCTCTCAGCATCCCGGGGTCCCTCTCAGCATCCCAGGGCTCCTCCCAGCATCCCGGGACCCCTCTCAGCATCCCGGGGTCCCTCTCAGGATCCCGGGACCCCTCTCAGCATCCCGGGGTCCCTCTCAGCATCCCGGGGTCCCTCTCAGCATCTCGGGACCCCTCTCAGCATCCCGGGACCCCTCTCCCTGCACAGCTCCTGCCCTGCAGAGCCAGCCCGGAGCAGCGATCGGGGCTGTAAATCCCAGCCGGGGGAGGTCACGGTGCTGCTCCGCTCTTATCTGGGGCTTTATTAGCAAATCGTTAAAGGAGCTTTTCCCTCCTGATCCTCTGCTTATCAGCGGCTGGGTAAAACGGCAAATCGCATCCCTGATGTGGACGGTCCGGGCAAGAGAAACCCATTTATTTCCCCTAACGGGTTTATCAGCAGATCAAGGAGCTGCTGAAGATGTAAGCACCGCGGTTATTTCCCCAGGTGATGGATCTTGCTGCCACACAGCTCCGGGAGCCTGGCAGGGATGGCTGATGGACCCGTGCTCGGCGCTGCTGCCTCATGGATTTCAAGGTCTTGCTTTAATTGAGTCCTGTCTCCCTGATGTCAGGGATTTTTCCTACTTTTTTTCTTTTACTTTTCATTTTCTTTTTAAATATTATTTTTCCCCCTTTAGGATGACTTTCCCAAAATATACGAACGCCCCTCATCTCTCCCTCCCTGTGGCAAATCCAGAGCTGTAAAGAAGGTGAACAAATTGAAAATCTGTCCTCAGACTTACTGGGTGAAAAAAGCAGCAAAACCTTCTGCCGTTTTTTATTTCTCTTTCTTTTTCATCCTTTATTTTATTTATCTTGTAGAAGGGACGTGGACTGGGGGTGAAAGTCCTTTTCAGAGCTGTGGGGCTGAGCATTCCCGTTTTTATCAGCTCCAGCAGTGGTGCCCAGTGACACTCATTGTGGCTCGTTAGTTGGAAAGCCATTAAAACTCGGGATCGATATTTTCTCGGGAGAGATAAGGCCCATTCAATTTTATTCCCCGAGGCAGAGAAATACCGAGAGCCATCCCCAGAGCAGAGCAGAAATGCTGAGGGAGCACTTTGTCCTGCCAGTGCCTGGGGAGGGGACAGGATGGGACATCCCCCAGCCCAGGGAATGTGGAATCCAGGACTCAGCCCTCAGCATCCAGGTCTTCTGGAGAAGGGAAAAATTAAATTTGGGGAGGATGGGGAGAGAGGGGAATGTTTGGTGGGGTTTGGCATCCAGCCAGGGCTCCTTGGCACTGCTGCCTGCAAAGGGCATCAGGAGGGCAAAAATGAATGAATGAATGAAGTGTCCATTCCCAACCCCTGGCTGCTGGCTCTGGAATGCCAGAGGAAAGGGGCTGTGGGTGTTCAGCCATCTCCTCTCCATCTCTCAGAGGGCTCCCACCACCCTTCACCCTCTGAACTGAGGTTCCAGTAGAGACCAGTAAGAAACAGGAGAGAAAAGTTTGTTTTTAGTGTTAGAGAGAGCTGCCAGAGGTATCAGCTTCTCTCTAAATATAAACCAGAAAACAGGAAATAACGATCTGTCCTAATTTAGTGCCTTTCATCTGCGGATTC